CTAGACAGGCAACATGAATTTCTTGTGCAAGAAAGCCCGATGGCTAAAATGGCTTTTTTGACATTTCTTGCGCAAAAGCACATGCCAGTGTAGACGCTCTCTTGCGCAAATACTTTAATGCAAAAACTCTTGCGTTAAAAGTATTTGCGCAAAATCTTGCCAATGTAGACGTAGCTATGGGTACATGTATACTGTGCAGCTATTTCAGGATACCAGAGATATCCTGAAATAGCTACCCCGCATCCAGTGAATACGCCCATTATTTTGAAATAGTTTTTGAAATAATGGATGTGCTATTTTGCCATCCCTGTAAACCTTGTTGCACAAGGGTTAAGGGATGGCTCAAAATGGCGCTTTATTTTGAAAGATGCACCAAATTTTGATAGCCTATTTCAAAATAAAATCGATGTAAGATATGCAATTTGCACTATGCAAATTGCGTATCTTATTTTGAGTTTAGGGTACAGTGTAGTTGCACTCTAAGACATGAGCTTGTTTGCTTTGTTTTTTAAAAGCAAACACCTTTAAATCCCTATACCAGAATCAACATACTGTACATTACTCCACTAAGATACTGCCAACTTCCTGCTGGCAAATGTAATTATTAAAAGAAATATATTGGATTTTATTTAGAAAGTGAAACTCATAAGGAGGAGTCTTATTAGCAAGCTGGCTATTTGCTGTTCTCCTAGCTGCCTTAATGCACTTCAGGGTGTAGTTTAGCATCAGACATTAGTATATGCTCCAGAAAACAGAGAGGACAGTGTAGGTTCAGAGTCATTCATATAGTGTAAATGAGTCTGTCCTTTTAATAAAGAGTGGAGGGTTGGGGTACATATTTCCTTGCTTTTTCAACTTGAAGGTTCACAGTGTGGGAGGTAAACCTATATAGCCAGATGAGGGCTGCTCACTCAGCTGCCATGGCTCACTACTTCAGTGGTACCTGCAGTGACTTATCACCAGGGATCCTAATTTTCCATGGTAAACGCCACACAAAAATTCTCCAATAAAAACAAAAATCCACATTTTTTCTATCATTAAAATGAAACCTGACAGCTTGGAGCCCCATCACTGGAGACTGACAGCCCAGAACCCATGTCCTGCCACATTTTTTATTAAAAATAAACAAACAAACAAACCAAAAACCTTTACACAAATTAACATTTTTCCATGGCAAATGCACCTTACTAATCACTAATGCATGCTGCACCAATTCAGCAGCACTGAGTCATCCCATAACCAGAGCCTGCAATGACTCAGCACTATGCTGTTGCAGCCTATGTGAAGGTCAAATGACCCCTAGGCACAGGTTTTTACTGAGCCTGACAAACGTGTAAATTAGCCCTGGTCTATGCTAGGAAATTGGGTTGTTATTTCTGTGTTGCTGAGGAGTGTAAAAAGTCCCCACCCTGAGTGATGCAGTTAAAACTGACCCATTTAAACAGCAGTAGGTTGATAGGAGAATTCTCTACCACCTGGCAGGGAGGTGGAGTACCCCTTCTTGTCAGTGTAGGTAGTATCTTTCTTCCAGTGCTGCCACTGCAGCATTTAAGTGAAGGCAAGTCCTTACTCTGCACAACAGCACAACTTGGCCACGAACCCTCCTCCTCTTTCACAATGTGACAGACAGGGCAAGCCTTTGAGGTGGGCACTGAGGGCCCCCATTAAAATGGGGTGCTGTGAGTAGGATTTGAATTCCCACCTGACCTTCCAAGAGCAGCTGGGATGGCTGAGATGGCAGAAAGGCAAGTGAGCAGCAGCACTAGGGGTGGGGAGACCAGAGCTGCAGGGGGTAGCTGGATGACCAGCCAACTCCTCTGGATCTGGGATGCCCCTCTTCTCCTTCTTTACATGTGCAGTGGTTGCTGTTCCTGTCCCCTCCCCTTTTCTTCCCAGAGCCATTCCAATCACTCTGGACTGGGAACATTCTGTCTGCTGCTGCAGGATGTGAGGGGGATGATGTTGGGTGACCTCCTTCTCTAACCCCTCTGAGCTGGGGAGACTGGAAGGGGGGAAGCTGCTCTTTGGTTACTTGTGTGGGAAAACAAATGTGGAAGCTCCTGAGCCTGACTGCAGGGACAATTTTTATTGTGGGGGTGCTGAGAGCTGTTGAACCAAACTGGAAACCCTGTATAGACTAGGAACCACTTCAAGCCAGCAGGTACTGTGGTACCACCACCACACTCCTAGTTCCAGCACCTATGCCTGAGTGCTCTCTTTAAAAAGACAGTGTTCATATTCTCAAGCATGCATGCTTTCCCCACAAAGCACTATGCAAGGGCTGTCTGTCCTGAGGCATCAGCAGCTGTGCTCTCCTCCATTTCTTTATGCATCCCCACGGTTGCTTAGGAAGAAGGAGCAGCAGTTCAGTGGGGGAGCAAGCTGCAATGTCAGCTTCTTTGTGCATCTAAGTGGGTCAGTTTCACCAAGTGGGTGCAGAAGGGAGATGCAGAGTCAGGGCACAGAAGAGAGGTATAGGAAGTAGAAGTGAAGGGGGCACAGTGCAGGGGTTATTGGTACAGGAAGGAAGTGCAGAGGTTGGGGGGAGGAGAGCATGGGAATACCGGGGAGCTCATGAGGGACCAGGGACAATGAGGGCACACAACTACAAAGACCATAGACACCAAAAAGCAAATTCACCCTAGGCACTATTTTCCATGGTACAGACTCCCTAGGCTTCCAGCTTGTCGTGAATCCAGTTCCTGGTACTCCCACAACCTTGTTGCAGTGAACTTCAGTTTTGCCAGTAGCCTGCTCTGAACATACTCCAGCCTTGCACCTGCCCCCAGACCCTTGGACTGACTCCCACCTGACTTTGTCCTTTAGCCTGCATCTGGGCTCCCAACTACAATCCTGATTTGACTTCTGTAAGGACTCAGACCTTGGTTCTGATCTATGGCTGCTCCCCTACCTTGGTTTCAGCGTGGCCTTCAACCCGGTTCCAACTGTATGGCTGGCTTCAACCCCTGTACCTGTTCTTCAGTATGGCTCTGACTACTTTGAAACCCTAGCCTGCACAGTGTTGCCATTAAGGTGCAAAAATGTATAGGCCCTTGATAGACTGCTCATATGTTGTCAGAGGTGTCATTCGCTATAGGCCAAGTGAGGCAGTTGCATGCCTTGCCCTTTGTTCCCACCCTTTCATAGCTCTATATGCTCCATTATGCCTTCCACTTTTTGCCCTAGACCCAAATGTGCAAGATAGAATAATCACATGCCAGGTTTTTTATGCTGACAACTTTGCCTGCCCACTCCTCTACCTGTTTTTCTGAAAAAACAGACATGCATCTTGTCCTAGAATAATCTCAATTAATTGTGTCCAAAGTTGCAATACTGTCCTCAAACTTATACTTGTAGGCTATGTCTAGACTGGCATGATTTTCCAGAAATGCTTTTAACGGAAAAGTTTTCTGTAAAAAGAATTTTCGGAAAAGCGCGTCTAGATTGGCAGGACGCTTTTCTGCAAAAGCACTTTTTGAGGAAAAGCGTCTGTGGCCAATCCAGAAGTGCTTTTCCGCAAAAAAGCCCCGATCTCCATTTTCGTGATCAGGGCTTTTTTGCAGTAAACAAATCTGAGCTGTCTACACTGGCCCTTTTGCGCAAAAATTTTGCGCAAAAGAACTTTTGCCCGAACGGGAGAAGCATAGTATTTCCGCAAGAACACTGACAATCTTACATGAGATCGTCAGTGCTTTTGCGGAAATTCAAGCAGCCAGTGTAGACAGCTGGCAAGTTTTTCCAGAAAAGTGGCTGATTTTCCGGAAAAACTGGCCAGTCTAGACACAGCCGTAAAGTATATTTTAGTATAGGTTACAGGTGTGATTTACATCCCAATATTGACAGAAGTATGTTCAGCTTAATTGCCCCAGAGCTATCATTAAACACATTGCAAGAACTATTATGACACTCAATTTAGCTTCTCTTCAAGGTAGATACTAAGTGAAATAGTTGTCATTTGCATTATGGCAAGATAGCAAGGGCCTTATCCGACCTACACCAATGACGTCAGTGGGAGCTTTAGCATTGATTTCAGTGGACACAGGATCAGGCCCTTGCTATGGTGCAATGTTTTAACTAAGTTCATTTATATTTATTTTATGAAAGTTGGAGGGGATGCTCACCCCACTTTCTCCCTTTCAGCCTTGATACCCATCTCTGTAGTACCACTTTTAAGCAGCTAAAATCTTCTTCAGTGACATAAATATGTTTAGTATAACACATTTAGAACCCTCTCTTCCTTTTTCCTATGCAGAATCCTCCTCCAGTCTGCTTTTTGTTTGTAGGTAGTTTTGTGAAGGTAGTGTGTTTTAAAAACTGTCTATATATTATTAGAAAATGATTGCAGAGTTTCCTGGTGCTTTGAGTGGAGATCTTTAGTGTACATAAAAATCAAAATACTCCTCAAGCCTCTCCCATTATACCCTTTCGGGAGGTTGCATTGCAAAGAGGTGAATTTTGGCAGCCTGTAGCAAACAACTCTAAAAGAAGAGAGGCAAGGGGTGTTGGAATAATTTGTGTAGTGGGGGTGCTGAGTTACTGAACCAAACTGTAATCCCCTTATATTATGGAAACAACTTCAAATCAGGTGAAGCTTATTCCAAACCAAATACAAAGCATAAACTTCATTTTGGGTACATAACACGCCCCAAAATCACATTCCTACGCACAGGGGAGGGAGGGATATGTTATGTACTGTAGTAGCTGCCTTGGTGCGAGTTACTCACCCAAACAGCTGGGTAAACTGTCACAGAGAGAACGGCCACGATCCGCAGGTGGACAAAAACTAAATTCTGGTATGTGATATGTGATCTCAGAGCTTTCAGACCAGAAACGGGCAGCAGTAGTACACAGCCCTTTGCCCTGTCCAGGGAGTTATACGTATTACACTGGGGGTGGCGGGGAAAAGGACGGGCAGCTTAGAGCTCGCTAAGGGTTTCACGGATACTAGCAGCTTCCGGGATCGAGGCTGAGTCGCTGCGTGCTGCTTGCAGCAGATCTAACCCTGCCTCTTCCTGGTCAGAGCCCCTCACCGAAACGGGGATTGGTGACGCGCTGCGTCGCTGAGGTTCTGCTCCCGAGGATCGCACTGTCCTGCCGCCAGGGGTTTGCACGGTAAGAACTGGGCCCAGTATTAGATCTACTGCAAAATCCGCCGCTTCCCAATTAGAATCTGGACAGATCGTAAGTTTTTCCCCCCTCTTGGTCTCTGCGAAGTTGCTCTTTCCTTTGAAATCATACTAAAGAAAATCCGCAAAATCCGCATGAGAAATGCTCTAGTCGGTCTATGTACTGATGTGGGTTTGGGCACGAGAGAGTGGTGAACACACGCTAAGGAAACGCAGCATCTACACAAAGGCATTTTTCGTTCCAGTACCCTATGTAAGGCCCAGTTTTGAGAGCATTTTTCCCTAGACCTGTTTGCTGGTGACTACGTTAGTATCAAATGACAGATTTTATACCAACTGGCTTTCATGAGAAATTGTATATTCTTTGTGGAAAACGTGTTTTTAAAACCTTACTAGGTTTTATATTGAGAAAAATACTATACCCGTAAAATAAATAGGACTAAATATAGAGGGATAGAATCATAGCACCATAGAGCTGGAAGCGACCTCAGAAGGTCATCAAGTCCAGCCCCCTGCTCTAGGCAGGACCAATCCCAACTAAATCAATCCCGCCAGGGCTTTGTCGAGCAGAGACTTAAACACCTCTAGGGATGGAGACTCCACTACTTCCCTAGGTAACCCATTCCAGTGCTTCACTACCATCCTAGTGGAATAGTTTTTACTAATATCCAACCTGGACCTCTCCCACCACAACTTGAGACAATTGCTCCTTGTTCTGCCATCTGTCACTACTGAGAACAGCCTTTCTCCATCCTCTTTGGAACCTCCCTTCAGGAAGCTGAAGGCTGCTATCAAATCCCCCCTCACTCTTCACTTCTGCAGACTAAACAGACCCAACTCCCTCAGCCTCTCCTCATAGGTCATATGCTCCAGCCCCCTAATCATTTTGGTTGCCTCCGCTGAACCCTCTCCAATGCGTCCATATCCTTTTTGTAGTGTGGGGCCCAGAAAGTAACAAGACACTGGGCCAAGTTCTGCATTCAGAAATATGGGTTACAGTAGTATAACTGAGGGTAGGGTCAGTTCCAGGAGTAGACAATTAAGGCAGTCACCTATGATGCCAGCTTGTAGAGGATAGTGCATTGCTCATGGTCTTTGTTGTTTTTGTTTTGTTTTGTTTTTTTGCTCTGCTGGAAGGCTGGCCTGCTGTTCTCCCTCCCCCTTCACTGTTCCTAGAGAGTGCTAAAAATCTTCCGTCACTGCCAGCAAAAGATCTAGAGCAGGGGTGGAGAACCTTTTCTGGATCACTGACCTACAGAAAAATCAGTTGGGGGGTCACACACGTGAGAAGCAAAAAACTCAGCCCTCACTGACTTGGACCCCAAATGAAAAGAAGAAGAAAAAATCCTCACAGATGTGGCCTCCAACTGAGAATCAGAGAAAAAAAGGACACTCTCCTCAAACTCTAGTCCCACAGGAGAAGGAGGGGTTAAGAGGCATTGAGGCTCTAAGGCTTTCAGGGCTGGGTTAACTTTTTGGAAGCCCAGGGGTAGTGGATTTTGTGAGGCCCCACCAGGCTCTGGAATGGGATCAAATATTAGGGGATCAAATGTATGTGAAGCAGGCTGGGGGTAAGGCTGTGAGGTCTGGGAGGGAGGTGCAGGATTGGGATGAGAGGTTTCGGCAGGCGGGGATGCAGAAGTGGGGATGCGGTGTAACATGAGGGAGGGAGCAAAGGATGGGGGTACTGCTTTCAGCGGGGTACAGGTGTCTTCACACAAATCTCATGCTGCAGGGAAGCGCTTCCTGCTGGCACCACCCCCTGACATTCCCATTGGCTGTGATTCCTGGCCAATGATAACCATGGGGGGCGGGGGCGGTGCCTGCAGGGCATGCTTCCCTGCAGCAGGCAAAGCTGCTTTCTCCCCTTGCCAGGCAGATCAGCCTGCAGCTTGCCTTGATCCATCCCACAAATCTCAGGCCTTCCCCACCACAGACAAGCTGGCACTGGCACCCCAGCCACAGTGGCTGTTTGTATTGCTGCCAGGGCAGAGGAGTGGAGTCCCAAGCCTCTCAGGCCAGATCAAGGCAAGCTGTAGGCCAAATTTGTTTATGATGGTAGGCTCCCTGTCCCAATCTAGGGCTATTCCTGATGGAGGGCAAAATCTGACACATTGGGAAAATCGTAATAAACGTATTTGTCCTTAATGAGCCAAATTTTGCTTTCAGTCATGCTAGTGTGTAGTGCAAATAATGATAAATAGCAATAAGTAATACAATGTTTAGGTCTTGCTCTATGTAAAGTCATCTACCTACTAATCTCAAAGCATTTGACTGCCCTTTCATGCATTAAGCATCACAACTCGGATGCAGGGAGGGTATTTTACTTAGGAGGAAATTGAGATTTAACAGGATTGAATAACTGTCCCAATATCACATATGAAGCTTGCTGAAAGGCCAGGAACAGAATTCAGATTGCCTGTGCCTAAACCCAATGCTATCCTAAAAAGAAAATTGATCTATTTTTTTTCCAAAATATACTCAATCTCTTCAAAGACAATCAAGAAAATAAAGTGGCAGTCCTTCACAGATTGTTCCACTGTACGCTAATGTCAAACATCTGAGCACACACCTTTAACAGTAATGTCCAGTCACTTGAATTTTAATCCTGTTTTTCCCATTGAGCTTCTAGTGACATAGCCTGAAACTAAACTATGTACCCTGTACCAAAATAACAACCCATTATTAAAATAAACACTTCAATTTGGGCTCTTACAATATCTCTTCACAAGTATTTTCTCTCCCACCCCAGTAGATGCCAAGTAGCTGAACTGCTACTGTAAGTGCTGGGCTAAATGTCACAGTGATTAATTAGTACTTTATTCCAGATTCACCCACACAGTAAGACAAAGTCTCTGGCAATTAAAACAGATCTTTGAAAGAGTGGAAAGTTTTTCCTCCATGAATTTTCTCTAGTAATCTCAGAGTGGTGTGGTCACTACCCCCAACAGAATCAAGTCCTCCATAATACAGAAAAACAAATGCTTACAAAAAGATTAAATTTCTTTCATTAAAACCCCCGATGGAGAGGGTCTGCTGCCGCAGAGCAGCCTCTGTCCGTGGGGAGCTCGGATCCCCCGTAGACAGGGGCTGCAGCCACCCTGCACTGCTGCCTCTGCATCAGAGGCAGCAGCATGGGGCAGCAGGCAGCCAGTCTGTACAGGGAGCTGGTTTTTAAACTGGTTCCCCTTGTGAACCAGCTCTCACTTGTCACCTCGCCCTGCTGCCTCTGATAGAGAGGCAGCAGCACGGGATAGCAGGGGCTCCCTAAGAGTGGGGCCAGGAGCGTACTGGCTATCAGCCCGGCCTCCGGGCACTATCTCGTAGTCATGTAACTGCTAAGATGTCTTGTAGTTACATGACTGTTCAATTTCACACTATCTAACATCCTTAGAACCTGGAAGGTTCTTCAGTTTGTCCATCTCTGGGATTTTTCATTATGTTGAAACTGAAGTGTAGCTTAGTAACAGGAAATATTTCCAAGATTTTATGGGTGTAAGGAGAGATTAATGACAAGATACAAATTACTATAACACATTATACAATCCTAAAAAAGTCTGTTTCTTTTCCTGTTTACTGAATCTGAAAAGCAATGATGAAAACAAGACGCAGAGCTTACATTCTGTGGCAGTAGTAAAGGAGCCAGGTCAAATTCTATTTCAATCTCCTATGATCTCTTTTAAATACAACTTCCTACACAGCTAGGTTTATTGATCAGAATATGAATGCCAGGATAGTGACTGTGATTGATAAACTTTGTTCCCTCCCCTTTCCCTTGATCTTTTTTAAGGGTGTGTCTACTCAGCAGGTCTTAACTCAAACTAAGCTACACAAATTGAGCTACATCCATTGTGTAGCTTATTTAGAAATTGAGAGCGTCTACACAGCACTTATTTTGAAATAGAGCACTCTTCCTTCGACTTCCCTTACTCCTTGTACAATGAGGGTTACAGGAGTTGGAGCAAGAAGTCCTCCAGCTTGCCAGTATTTCAACATTATTTCAAAATAATTGCTTGTGTGGAGATGTGCACTTTGTTATTCTGAAATAACGGTGCTATGTAGAATGATCCTAAGTGACAAGAGGCTGACAGAAAAATTATTATAAAGTTAGAAAGAGTGAAGAGTTGGCAATTTTCACCTTTTTCCGGAGAGCTTCAAAATTATATTTTTCAGAGAAATAGCATCAACATATAGTGCTTTGAAAATAGTGTAGAATGTGGTGAAATTGTGTATGGAAAAAGTTACCATTACTACAGATTTGTATCAACACAGTGCTTTAACTGAGTCTTTTTAGCAAGGACAAAGAGGTCAATTCTTCAACCCTGCCACCCCCCCCCCCCCAAAAAAAACCCCAAAACTTGAATTCCCAGTGTTAAATAAAAATATAGTGCTTCTCCTGAGTGTTACAGCTTTGTAACTGTTCCTGAACTAAAGTGCTACACAGAGAAGATTTGGAACAGTTTACAGTTTGAGTACCAGCAAGCCCTGAGGAGAACAGATTTTCAAGTATGTTTCATATTCTGCCTGTGTCCATGAAGCCACTTCTGCTTTCTTCAGTGCCACCATTCTGAAAAAAAACTTCTTCCCAAAGCAACACTGCTGTGCATGGTGATAAATGGTCTCCCAGGCTACATGATAAAAGATGGTGCAGAATTCACATTTGAGGTGTTTATATTGCATAAGAAAGATGAATAAAATGACAAGCCTGAAAGGTTTAATTTCTAAAACTGTTATGGTCTGGACCCACAAAGGAACTTATGCATTGCAACACTGAAGCCAGATCTACACTATGAGATAAGGTCAAATGTATTATGATAAACTTTTCAGCACCCAATTTTGTAAAGTTGAAGGTACGTGTCCTCAGTGTGTGCAAAAGTTTGACAGTTCGAAGTACTGCATCCCCAGTAGAGGGGATGTTAAAATGCATTTAATTATGTAATTGTGTAACTCCTGAAAATTTCAGCAGTTACACATGGGGCAGGCGGCTCTACAGGAGCTGGTACACACAGGGAGACAGCTTAAAAGCCAGCTTCCCACATATACTGGCTCCACCTGCTCCCCCCCATGCTGATGCCTCGGTTACAGAGGCAGCAGCACAGGGAGAAGCTGCATGTAACCGTGCACATTAAACAATGAGCAGGTCAGGTCCCTCCTGCTCACACAAGCAGCATTTTTGCAGCGTTGATCCAGACCATCTGTTTGCCTCAGCTCCTTTATTTTTATGTGACATCCCTGATGTATCCTTTCTCCTCCATGCCCTTTGCATTCTTTCCATAAATACCTGCATACCTTTTGCTGGTTCATAGTTCTGTCTGAACAGATTCCTCTTCCCACCCAGCAATGAGGTCTAGTAGCTCCTGCACTCTCCATTCCAGTGCTCATCTGCAACCCTGGGAACTCATGGTCAGGTGTGCTGCCTGCTCTGAGGTCTGAGTGCCATGCTTGCCACACAGAAAATGAAATTCAAACTTCCCTGGGGCTTTTTCTGTTCACCTCAAGAACAGTAGAGTTGAATGTCCTGGCCAGAGCAGTCACTGCGGGGCATCTCCCAGAGACCAAGAACTTCAACTTTCACAGTGCTGCGACTGCGCTACCATAAAGTTGACCATGCAAGGTCTAATTTAGTGTATTTCTCGTGAAAAGCAGAAGTACTAAAATCGACTTTAATGGCTCTTTAAGTCAACAGAATGAGCTTGGTGGTGGGGACTCACTGTTTAGAAATTTGACCTAATGCGGCTTGTTTGATCTAAACTCCTAATCTAGACTAGGCCTTAGTTCATGTTAGACCTGATGTGTAGGTCCCATAGTGGAAAAACAAAATATGTGTGTCAGAGGCTAAAGGCAGGGCATGGTCAGAAAGGCACAGGCACAGAGGTCATTGTACTATGGGAATTCTGGACACCACTTTGGACAGGCTGCTGTAAATTAGACCAACTCTCTGAGCCACCTCATTCATATTGGGGCCATTTAGACCTCCAGTGCAGTCAAGAATCAGGAAGGTGGAAGGAGGCTTGAAGCCACACTTGTCCTCAGTCATAAGAACAGCCATACTGGGTCAGACCAAAGGTCCATCTAGCTCAGTCTGCTGACAGTGGCCTATACCAGATGCCCCAGAGAGAGGGATCACAACAGGTAATCCTCACGTGATCCCTCCCCTGTCATTCAACTCCAGAGAAACAGAGGCTCGGGATAGAATTTCTACCTATCCTGGCTAATAGCCATTGATGGACCTAACCTCCATGAATCTATCTAGCTCTTTTTTGAACCCTGTTAAAGTTCTAGCCTTCACTGCATCCTCTGGCAAGGAGTTCCACAGGTTGACCGTGTGCCAAGTGAAGAAAAACTTCCTTTTGTTTGTTTTAAACTTGCTGCCTATTAATTTCATTTGGTGATCCCTAGTTCTTTTATTGTGGGACTAATTAAATAACTTTTCCTTATTCACTTTTTCCATACCAGTCATGATTTTATAGACTTCTATCATATTTCCCCTTAGTCTCTTTTCTAAGCTGAAAAGTCCAAGTTTTTTTAATCTCTCTTTATATGGGACCCGTTCCAAACCCCTAATCATTTTTGTTGCCCTTTCCTGACGTTTTTTTTTTTTTTTTTGTGCTGTACTCTGCAATCCCCAGCACATAATGCTTCCTTGTACACTTTCCTGTTTAATTCAGACTCGGTACAAACCCAGTATTTCTGTTAATTGAAAGGGGACAATGCATTGTGTGGCCTAATATAATTTACTTAGGCTACATCTAAACTATAAGCCTCTTTCAAAAGAGAGCATCTAGACCACAAGCAGATTTTTCAAAAAAGCGAGCAGCTTTTTTGGAAGATAGTCTAGACGCTTTCTTTCGAAAAAGCACAGTTTTCATGTAATAGCACCTTTTTTTGAAAGAGTACTTTTGAAAAAAGGCATTATTCCTTGTAAAATGAGGTTTACCATGATAAAAAAAACTGCCGTATTCTTTCGATTTACTTTCGAAAGAACATGGCTGCAGTCTAGATGCAGGTGAAGTTGTTTAGAAAAAAGGCTACTTTTTTCAAAAAAACCCTGTAGTCTAGACACACCCTTAGAGTTCAGCCATTGTGATTTTTTTTTATTTATACTTAATAGCAGGTTATTCAAATAGTATCTGTGATAAAAATAATGCTTCTTTAAAAATGGGTGTTTTCTCTAGGTAAACAGTTGGCTCCAACAGTGTAATGTTTTACTTTTTTACCTTTGTACCAAACAGTGAGAGGAGGAGGAGCCAGCTGTGAAAGACAGATTGCTGTCTTTGCTGCTGACCAAGATTATTAGGAGGAAAGGAGAAGGACAAACAGACATGTCTTCAGAAACAGCACAAAGTAATGTTCAGGCACCTTCACAGCAACAAAACCAACAGGTAAATTGGGGTCACTTCCCCTTTCAGCTGAATGCTATCTTTAGTCATTTTTTGTATTCTTACTATCAAATGAAATCTGGGGGAACAGCTGTTTGGATGGATGGACTTATACATATAAATGAGTAGGAGGCAATGTTTGCTAGTATTCCCCTGGGCTATGTCTAGACTACTTCCCTTTTTCGGAAAAAGGATGTATATTAGACGTATCGCAATTGCTAATGAAGCGGGGATTTAAATCTCCCGCACTTCATTAGCATAAAAATGGCTGCCGCTTTTTTTCGGCACGGAGCTTTGTCGGAGAAAAGCGCCAGTCTAGACGCTGATCTTTTGAAAAATAAAGCCTTTTCCGAAAGATCCCTTATCCCTCTAGAAATTATTAAATGTCATGGTCATTCTAGTTCTTGTCATTAAGTGTGTTTAAAGTCTTATACCTTTTCCACTGTGATACGATTTTGCTTCTCATATTTCAATCCAAAGTAAATTTTTACTCCTGTTAAATTTTTTTAAACTAGGCATATAATAAAATGATGCTATTTAACTGTAAGCAATTTAGTTTATAGTATCCCATGCAATATTAAAAACAGAGCACATTTATTTTAGAATCAAGAATTCTTGAACAATTTTCTATCTGTATTATGCTTCTCTGAGCTCTATACAAGGCTCCAATATGTTTTCATTCACAATTTCTGCATAATCCAGCCTTGTATGTATTATGGCCCACACTCTGTGTCAAGTTCTGCTCGGTGTAGAGAAGATAGAAGGCAGAGAGTAGTCAGAATGCCATTTTCAATGGTCTGCCAATTATAGTTGAACTACTTTGGTCCCAGTGCCAGTCTCAATCCCAGTGAATCTGCTTTAGTTTAAGCCAGCTAGCTGTGGTTCCCAAAGGAGCATATCTCTGCTAAGAACCAGTAGAACACAGGTGCTCTCTGGCTCATCCTCAACATCCAACTTCAAACCTGGGAAGGAATTGAGTGTGAATTGGCATAAGATTAGGTAAAACTGCTTTACAGCAGGGCTACGTCTACATTGGCCCCTTTTCCGGAAGGGGCATGCTAATTTTTCAGATCGTAATAGGGAAATCCGCGGGGGATTTAAATATCCCCCGCGGCATTTAAATAAAAATGCCCGCCGCTTTTTTCCGGCTTTTAGAAAAGCCGGAAAAGAGCGTCTACACTGGCCCCGATCCTCCGGAAAAAGCGCCCTTTTCCAGAGGATTTCTTATTCCTACTTTGAAGTAGGCGTACCGGAGGATCGGGGCCAGTGTAGACGCTCTTTTCCGGCTTTTCTAAAAGCCGGAAAAAAGCGGCGGACATTTTTATTTAAATGCCGCGGGGGATATTTAAATCCCCCGCGGATTTCCCTATTACGATCTGAAAAATTAGCATGCCCCTTCCGGAAAAGGGGCCAATGTAGACGTAGCCCAGCTGTGAGCACGCCTATGCTGAAGAACTCTCAACAGGACTCTTAGGGACAAATTCTACTACTTTGTGCCATAGTGGAACATTTAATTAAGAGTAATTTTGATATGAAATAACCCTGTTCATAATCATTTACTTCCTCATCTGTTATTTGTACTATTGTAGGTGTTTTATTATATTTGATGTAGTTTATGAGCAGTTCATGTTTCAGATACTATACTACAATCTTGTGAGACAGGTTTGCTCTAGTCACTGTGAATGGCACTGCCTACTGGCATTTCTGGGGATTTGCAACCATGGGCTACTTCCCTCTACAGCCCCAGAATACATCTTCCTTTTCCCAAGGAGTGACTATGTAGACTACTTCCTGCAGCCCCTTTTGCTTCCAATTTACTTTTTTTTTCTAGTAGTCCCACCTGCCCTTCAGATGTGAGCTTGTCTCTAATCAGCTGCATGAAGCTCTCCCATTTTCAGCCTAATTCTGATTGTAGGGCCAGCGTGGGGAGCACATCCCATCACACCTTGCTATGAAACTCTACAATCAGTTTTGAAGGCCTTACTCATACAGTACTCTCACTAACTTAAGTAGAGTTGTGCTTGAATGTCTGGGGCATCCACTACCTTAAAATTTAATTATGACTGCAGCCAATAACCTATTTCATCACCATGATTACAAAACTAAGCGGACCTACACAGAGCTGGTACATGACAGCCTGGTTCTATCTATAGTTAGAGCTAAAGGTGCAATTTCCCACTAAGGATACATCTAGACTATGTTCTTCTTTCAAAAGGATATATGCAAATTCAGTGCTAATTTGCATATAATCTTCTGATCGCTTTTTCGGAAGCATTTTTTTTGAAAGTGAAAAGTTTAGATGGGTTTTTTTTTCAAAAGAACCCTGTACACCAAATTTTTTAAGGAAGAGGGGTTCTTCCAAAAAAGGAGGGTTCTTTTCGAAACCCCCCCATCTAAACTGCTTTCACTTTAGAAAAAAACCACATTTGAAAAAGCAATCGGAAGAAGGTATGCAAATTAGCACAACATTTGCATATCTCCTTTCGAAAGAAGAATGTAGTCTAGATGTACCCTGAGGAAACATAGCTGTGTCAGCTGTGATTGAGTTGACATGTTAAAAATAGAGCATTGCTATGGCAGCAGGGCTTACAGGATTGATTAGCCACTCCAATTATGTACTCACCCAAGATTATAGACACATAGGGAAGTTCGCCCACCCACCACTTCTGCTGCCATGGTTATACTCTTATTTTTCATTCAATAGCTCAATCAGAGCTAGCGCAGTTATGTGTCCTTAACATAGGAATCACATCCCCATCTCCAAGTGCATACCCTTAGGTATGCTGACACCTCTGCCAAAGTGGCCCTTATGCTACAAAATTTGAGCTTTTATTCTTTTAAAGGGTAAGTTTTTAGCTTTTGTGAAAGTAAGTAAAGCCTTGAAAATTTGAACAGTGTGTAACTGAAACAATAACATATGCCTGATTCTGTGCAGAGCTTTCTACAATAGCTATAAAGTGTAAACTGCCCCATTCATCTCAAGGAGATGGAGTGGTAGAAGTAGCCTCCTAATTCAGCAGATGCACTCAACCTCTTCCTCACCCCACTGAGGGGGCATCAACAACCCACAGCAGTACCCTCCTCCCCAGCACCATAATCTTAATCCCAGCCAGGTGTGGAGGGAAGGCCTTGGGGGAAGAAGGATTGGGCTGGAGACTGAGTCCACCTTGGACTCATTCCACAGTGGCAGTTCCTTTCTTGTAGCTGGAGTTCGGTTAGGGCCAGTGCTGGCTCTCTGGCTCCATGTGGTGCTACCTGGCATGTGGAGTCACAGCACCACTCAGGTTTGGAAATTTTGGAGTTTATTGGTAAATCAAATTAAAACAAAGATAATGTAATAAAATCGTATCTAGATTACGGGATAGGCCATAGCTCATTTCTGTAGGATAACTGGAGACTACTACCACCATCATTCTGTGTGTCTGTCCCTCCAGCTATCTTGGACTCCTGACTTTATCTCACCATCCCAGAGCCTGAGGTAATAACTGTCAGTGAGATTCTATTTCAGTCCCCTCCCCTTAGGATCTATCACTTATATTCTGTTCCTTTGAAGTCTAGGTATGAAAGCTCTTACCTGATGACTGTTAATCCAGCATAAATGAAGCCAACATACCCTCTCCAGTATGTGTGTCCATTTTATTTAGTAATTAAGAGAATTTGTTTGATGAAGGAGTTTTTCCATCTCCTGTTACTTAACATATATCTCTTTAATGTAACTCCAGTAACTTTTTACATATCACATTATTATAATGAGATCTATATATTGTAATGTAGATTTGTTTTTCTAATGAGGAATAAAAAGCGAGGAATTGTGGGGTCAGAAGAGGCTAAAATGGGGATACCCCCAGATTATTTCCACCAAGTAATTATTTCACATTAGTTACAGGGCACTTAAAGCAGCTAAGAAACCTTTACAGTGTATCCAGATAGAAATATAACAAAATAACAAAAATGTATAATTGTTGCCTTCCACAGAAAGGCTGTGTGGCTACTGTACAAGAGACTGATTATGCCAAACACTTGCACAGTATCGATCTACAGTTGTAGCACCATAGCAGAGAGTTAGTTTAGTTTAAGAAAACTTCATGATGATTACCATAAAATCTCGAGTATAATGCGCACTTTTCCCCCATTTTTTTAGCATCAAAGATGGGGTGCACATTATCTATAGGAGGTTTTTTAAAAAAGTTTTAAACTCACCCTCAACAGGCACGAGCGGGGGGGGCGGGGACAGGCAAGGACCTGGGCGGGAAGGCCCCCCCCCCCAGCAGGTGCGAGCTCGGCGCGCCAGTAGCTAGGCGGGGGAGGCTCTCCCGGCAGGCGCGAGCTCGGCACGTGGGCAGCTGGGAGGGGGGCAGGTTTCCTTCCTGTTCTCCTGTATAACGGGTGCGCATTATACATAGGAGTTCGGGTTTTTCATGATTTTAAGAGTCTAAACTAAGTGTGTGCACTATACATAGTTGCGCATTATACTCAAGATTTTACGGTATTACAGCAATTAGAAACCTAGAAAAGCAGGAGCTCATGTCTTCCCTCCCCCTCCATTGGACCTATACCCACTCTCTGCTAAAAGCCTCAGTCCTCAAATGAAACCTCCTATGGTCCCTGCCTGTCCCCCACCCTGCTCATTACCTCTCCTTGCTGGCTCAAGGCTTCCTTGGGAAAAGGAATTTTAGGGTCTTCCCCTCTGTGCTCCACATCCAGCTGTTTGCCTCTCTCTCTACCCAATATCCAGCCTTTCTCCCTTCCTTTGATCCCTGATAGTGAGTTCCATCACAGCCTGCAGCACCACTCCTGCCTCAGCAGCAGCACCATAGCCTGCCCTACACTGCAGCTCCTTACCTGACTGGACAAGGAGAACGGACTAGCTACCCCCTCTTCCTATTTCACTGCTCAACAAAGAAAGGAGAAGGACACACCTTTTGCTGCCATTACTGGATAGTTGTAGGAAAATACCACCAGTTTTTCTTTTACCATCAGAGAGCCATGCCTGCAGAATCCAGTAGGACAACTGAGTGCTATTGAGGAGAAGCCCAGCCGGAGAAGCCCAACAGAACCCATGTGAATATCTGAATTGCATGGAGGGGGAGTTAAGACTGCAGCACCTGAGGGCATACATTATCAAAATTTGAATACCTGCACGATCTACCAAGAGCAGTTTCTCATTTTGGCATCTCAATGGGCGGAGTTCATTTTGCGAGTGTGCTCAGAGTAATAATGCCTTTTTTCCTCCCAGTTCAACCCTAGAATATTAACTGAATAAATGTGACTGATCAGAATAAAAGAATTAAGAGAAATTAAACAATGAACCGCCTATCTAAAATTAATAACTTATTAAACTGTTGCAAGCAGGATTGTCCCAAGGGTGATGCAGAGTCTGGGACGTAGACACTAAGTTTCTTCTGGCAGGTGCTCCCCCTTACTCTGCCTAGGTCCCACCCTCATCCTGCACTCCACCCTGCCTGTTCCCACCCTATCCCACCTCTTTCCACCCATTTCTGTCCTTTCTCTTGATCATGCTGTGCCCTCTCTACTCTTCCTCTTCTCCCTTTCCCCCACTGCCTCCTGACAACACAAAGAGCTAATCTGCTGCAGGTGATAGGTGCTGGGAATGAGGAGGAGGCGCTGATTTGCAAGGTCCATGGGTGGGCAGTAGGGATCCTGGGAGGGGAGCTGCTGGTGGCTGCTCCAGCCACTAGGGCAGCACCCCAATGTGCCATACCCCGTAGGGACAGCTCTGATTGATTGTAGACAAGATGTTTCAAGTGGGATGAAGTCTTTTTAGTGTAAAGCCTGAAAAGTACTTCACATTTCTGCTCTGGAACTATCAAACATTTGATTGTTTGATTAACTAAAGATGGGAGGGTTGTTTGTTTGTTTGTTTTGGGACATTAGAGAGTGGTCGCATAACTTATGAAAGAAAAATACCTTTCTTTTTTACTTTCCATATATTGGTAACTATTTTAATTTATGTTAAATTGGCTTAAAATGGTCTTGTAAGATAAAAATCAGTAAGCTAACAAAAACATTGATCATTTCAGTCTTTGCTCCACTGTCCCATCTCAGATGCTCACATCAATAGCAAAGAAGTAGAAAGGATCCGTCAAGAATGTAGAAATGAAAGTTTCTGGTACAGAGGTAGGTAGCTCAAATTAATTCTTATCCCAGTGAGAATCAGCACTTGATGTATTTTTAGCTGAATGACTGCTTTAAATTCTGCCGCATGACTTGTGAATTACTTTAACACTTATATTTATTTGACAGAAGATTATTAGGGTCTAATTCTGTCATCCTTACTTATGTTGAGTAGTACTTACTATGAAATCTGTGGGACTAATTACACAATAAAGTACACTTTAAGTAAAAGAGGCAGAATTGTTCCATTCATTGTTAATAATTAACTATTATTAACTGATGTCGCTATTTTTAAACCTATTTTTACTCTCACCCAAAGGACACTTTCCATTTTCTCTCTCATACATAATCTTAATTTTAATTTTTTTTCAAGAAATAACAAGGTTTCTGTATAATTTCAACAACAAAAGTGATTGCAGAGTGAGTGTAAAGCTGGCCAGCTGACAACTCTAAATATGGTTATTCTGAAAGAAAAAAAATTGAAAAACTAAGAATTTCGTCTTTTAATCAGATTGCTATCAGGGCCAGACATATTTTAGTTTTGCTTTCTTGGGGGATATATTACTATGGTTGTGCAAGTTGTTATTTATTCTGCATTTAGCACCAAAAGGCCACAACCACGTTAGGCTCCATTGTGCTAGGTGCTGTACAAATATAATCAATGGCTGTCATTGAACCCAAACAGCTTATTGTCCTAGGTCTGGGCCTGCTGGCTGAGAATTATGTATCTCTTTTTTGTATTTATTATTCTTGTCTTCCCCATCCCAGATTGCTTGTCTCATTCACCTTTAATGTCTAATCTTAGCGTATGTCTAGACTACATGCCTCTGTCGCCAGAGGCATGTAGATTAGGCTACCAGGCATAGGAAAATGAAGCGGCGATTTAAATAATCGCCGCTTCATTTAAATTTACATGGCTGCCGCGCTCAGCCGACAAACAGCTGATCAGCTGTTTGTCGGCTGAGCGCGGCAGCCATGTAAATTTAAATGAAGCGGCGATTATTTAAATCGCCGCTTCATTTTCCTATGCCTGGTAGCCTAATCTACATGCCTCTGGCGACAGAGGCATGTAGTCTAGACATACGCTAAGATTAGACATTAAAGGTGAATGAGACAAGCAATCTGGGATGGGGAAGACAAGAATAATAAATACAAAAAAGAGATACATAATTCTCAGCCAGCAGGCCCAGACCTAGGACAAAGTGAGCAAGGCAAATGCTTTGGGCCCCGCGCTTTCAGGGCCCCACAATGCTGAATGTTCACCATCCACTGGCCGGGCCTGGGACTCTGCTCCCAGTATCCTGCCTTGGGCCCTGCAAACCCTTTGGCCAGGCCTGTCAGCCCATCAGCAGTAGTGATTACAGTGCTGGATTTTATTTTGTTTCTTGTTTTTTCCAGGTCTTCCCTTGTCTTTAGGAAGCATGCTCATCACTCAAGGACTAATCTACAATGGTAAATGGGAGATATTAGAAATGAACCCAAGTCATGCTTATCTGAAGTCAGTACTTGATCAGAATTTCCCTGGAGCTTGCTGCTTTTCATATTTGAATGTTCTTCCCATTCAGTGCCAACATTACTACAATGATCTAACAACTATGCATTAACACAACTCATTCTGAATATTTCCTTTTGAACTCATACCCTTCCAAATACTAGGGGCCTAAATCGGTCACACTTATATTCTATAATCAAGAAGTATCACTGACTTCATCGGGCTACTTGTAGAATAGGGTACTAATCCACATAAGGGTATCGGAATCTGACATTGTAGCTCTCAATTATGGCTTCTAGAAAGCATTGGCCGTGTTTTTATAATGTAAGTATATAAACAGAAACATGCTCGGTCAATGCAAAGGTGGGAGGGCAGGTGATCTTATAGAGCGGCCGTGTAATCTGCACAGACGATTATCGTGTTATTTCTATGGTGAATCAGTCTAGTTGCATTCTGTCTGCCCATGAAGGAGTTGCAGACTACTTTCTGTGTTTCTCATTCATTGACAGATAACACTCCACATAACCACTCTAGCTGGATATTTATTTTACAATTATCAACAGTAAAGCAATTAAGAATGCCAATTGTAAATTATTATTATTGTCCCTTGACTAATTTGACACGAACGGGGCAGCTTGTATTTCTTTTAGAAACAACTGCTGAACACCTGGCCAAAGTGAAAATAAATGGGCTCTACCTAATAGAGGCTAGGGAAAAATAAATTCTCCTCCCCACAGTCTAACACTTGGCATAGACTGGTTACATGGCACTTTGCTGTGTATACAGGCCGTCCTCTCTGTAAGTACAAGATATGTTTAAAAAAACTTGGACTTACAGTGAAACAACTTAAAGAGGGAAATTTTGTCCTACAGCTGACTTCTATTTGTTCAAATTGGGGGTGGTAGTGTGTGGGGCGGTATTGTGCGACTTAAGAGCAAGGAATGGGAGGACTTATAATGCATCAGTTCCTACAAGCATCAATGACTTTAGTGCAGAATGGATGTATACCAGAGCGACTTATAGCAGGGATTCCGTGTACTACAGATCATTGGCTTTAGAAGAAACTTGCATCCCCTACTATATGTGAATCTACGTTGGTGGGTCAACTGGCCACCACTTTATACTCCCTCTACCACCAAATTCTTCTGTGTGGAATTAACCTACATAACCTGGCACTGTCATCCTTACTTCTTTCCCATACCCTGCCTCCCCCGACATCCTACCAGAAAGCAGTGCTTCCATTGTGTTTTAGGGTCTTTCATTTCATTGAAGGAGTCATTCTGTAGCCTTCAGAGCTACTGTGTCTCTCCATCTACAGACTCAGCCCTTTCAAATATAATATTTTTAAATGGAATTTAAATTTTTAAATTCTGCAGAAATGGATGGGTCACCAAACAAATGCCGGTACAAAATACAACAGACTGACTCATTCTGATCCTTGCTGCTTTCATTGGCTGAGATTTGGCAGTAACATCACATGGTTATATTCATTCATTCTGCCTGGATATTTTTAACAGGTTCTAGATAATATCCAGAATGGTGGCTGCAACAGTAAAACAGTAAAATTGGAAGGCTCCACAAACATGTGGAGGATTATGTGGAAAAATCCTTCTGATGTATTTTTATTTACTGTCTAATGGTGTTAGCTGAGCATGCACAGATAACAGTACATGAGTACAGGCTGCTACCAAATTGAGATCAGAAACAAGTCTCCATTGTCACAGTCAATCTGAGAGAAGGGGGGATTTTGGTGGGGAAAGGTGAGAAACTTTCCATTTTCTCCTCTGTTCATGGAACCACACCTTCTTTCCTCAAAAGCCCAAATGTCAAATTGACTCCTCCCTGCCTATTAAAGAGGATAAACATCTATCTGATGACAGTTAATACTAGATTGATAATTGACCAAAAAGGCCCTACAAGCTAGCTCTCAGCTTGTGCTTGCCTAGAGAGCAAGAAATTGAATGAGAGAGCTGGATTCCAATTCTCCACCTGTCAGTACAAAGTATTTTTCCCTGACACTACTAGCATGCCATCATGCAAATAACTGTATTGGGAATTACCAGAGGGTTTTGGAAATGGTATATTTTCCTAAATAAAAGCTCTAACAAATGAGAGTCTTATTAGAAAAATATCACTTTTGTTGATAGATGAGGAGTTTCTCAAGAGGATAGGCATTCTTAATTGTTATGTTTTATTTTAGGCTTTCTCTCATCAAGCCCAAGATTTGGATCATTACCTAAAATTGCAGGTAAGTCAGTAGTTTTATTTTAAAAAGAAAGACAAGGTTGGGGGATCTTCATTAACAGTAGAATCTGAACTCTTCAGAATCCAGACTTCCTTCATGTGCTGTCTCCCCCTGTTCTAGTGAATCTCAGTTATCCAAACTTTTGTGTATCTGAACATATAGGGTGTCACTATAGCTGTTTAGGTAATTCTATTTATATGGGATATACTAAGTTTACAAGCTAATTATTAAGTAAAGATTGCTTAATGAAGAATTTTTCAGTAAGATTATATGTTCAATTTGTAATTGCTCTACATGTACTATTTTTTTATTTGGAGGTCAGCCCGCACCAAGGTTCTGTCCATAAAACTATCCTTAATGGTCTGTTTTTTCCCATGCCCCCTCCTTCTTGGAAAAATTCCCAATGAAAATCTGTCTCTCTCTACCTTAGCTTCATTAAAACTCACCTTGCCATAATACACATGAAATTCTGCCATCTGCTCACAGCTACACCAATCATGAGTTTTGAGCTGCGGATTGTGCACTTAACTAGTTTATGCTACAATATCCTACAGTTTTATTACTATGTTCTCTTCCTATTCTCACAACCTTATTTTATATACCTATTATTTCTGTTCTTTTAGGGTGCATCTACGCTGCACCCGTAGCTCGAAATAGTAGGGCAGATATTGTTGATTATTACATAAAATATAGCAGTAAAGCCCTAGCACTACCATAACAGGTTCCCAGCATGGTTAAGTTCTCTAATTATTATAGCCATGTAACTCCTCAAATAAAGAAATAATAATACAAATTCAATTTATCCTGTTGTCTAACTTTGGAACATTTTGTTAAAAAAATATTTTCATAGGAATTGTTTTGTAATGCATGTACATAATCTAATGACACCATTTAAATGATGTGATCTAGTCTGCTTGCAAAAGGGTTTCATTTGGTGCGTATTTGGATGTGAGACCTCCACAGAAAATTCAGTGTATTGCCAGAAGTAGTTTTTCTTTATTGAACCCAAGCTCAGTGGTATTAATGAAATCAAGACTTAAACTGAAGTCCTAGTTATTTGTAATCATCAGAACTACCACGGAGCATTTTGCAAAGATGTAAGTCTTTGTCAAATTTCACCATGTTTACACTCATCTAAATTCACCCTGCAATAACAAGTGTATATAGCTGTGGTGTGCAACACACTAGTCACATGTGGCCATTTGGCTGATTGAGTATGGCTAGTTCGCTATAGCAGAAGCCACTGTAGTGGCTATTGCTTCAGAACTGGCTGGACACCATGGGTATATAGTATTCTTTTTCACATCTGAATTGTTATGCAGCGTTGCTGTGTATTGTTAACCAGCTGCACTGTTTTACTCTATAGATGGTTGAATTTCAGTGATAAGAGAACTTACAAATATTATACAGTAATAGTGGTATATGTTTATAAAGTACTTTGGGATGAAAAGTCCTACATAAGAGCAATTCACTACAAAAGGACAAATGATAGTATCTTGAGTTAGTATCTTGAACAAAAAATATTTTGTGATTGGTTTGTACAGTTGCTGGTGCCTTTGGTTTTGCGATTGGGACGATGTCATATATACGAATATGCCAGAAAAAGTTCCAACGTGTAGGAGTTCAGCCACTTCGTCCAGAATCTGAAAGGTTTGTCTTGAATATAGATCACTCAATCTTATACTCTAGCTCAAACAGAAAGTATGGGGTTTGGTGCAGAAACATAGGTACTGAAAATAAAAAGAGAGGCAACTACAGCATACTTTTAAACCTTTTGCTTCAGCTCATAGGGAACTCTTGAATGTCATACCTAAAGGTATATATTCAATATAATCTGCATTGTTTGAACGACATAAATAATCCTGTAAATTAAAAGACTAAATCCCTAGCCTCTGCATATACTAATTTAATTATAAAAGATCAACAGTTGGTACCAGGCCGAAGATAAATTTCTATTAAATATCACACTATCCATCCCATCAGTTTGGGCTATAACTTTAGGTTCACTTTTGATTCTGCCTTTTCTCAGTATGTCCTGCAAGTTGTTTCTCCACCACATCTTCTTTATCCCTATAGTTCATTGTTCTCTGCTGTAATTAATGCAACCTCCTCTTCTCTGGCTTCTTAAATCCAGTCCTTTCTCAAGTCCATACAAAATACAGCTACTAAAATCATTTTCCTTACCTTATGATTCAGTTCACGTCATCCCCTCTCAGGGTATGTCTACACAGCAGTGTTATTAGTCTGCAACTACACCACAAGCAGTTATTTTGACACACTGTCAAAATGTTGTCGAGCTGGAGGACTTCTTACTCCGGCTCCTGTAATCCTCAGTTTACAAGGAATAAGGGAAGCTGGAGGAAGAGTGCTATCTCTGACTTCCTGCTGTGTAGACAGCGCCAAAAGCTGAAATAAGCTATTTTGATTTAAGATATGCCATTGATGCAGCTCAGGTTGCATAGCTTATTTCAGTTTTAGCCCTGCTGTGTACACATGCCCTTATAGTCCTGCAGCACCTTAGAGGCTAACAAAAAATGTAAATGGTATCATGAGCTTTTGTGGGCACAACCCACTTCTTCAGATGAATGGAGTTAAGGGGTCTAGTTTCCAAATAAAGAGCCAAGAAAGAGAGGGGATGGAGGGAGAGAAGGAAAAAAAGGGGGGGAAATTGTCAATTAGAGTGTTCATGCTAAATGAGGTTCATATAGTGGGCTCTAAGTTCCTAGTGCTTGGCTTTTTATGTCATTAGGGTGTGGAATGTAGCCGCCCACATGGTTCAGACCTCAATTCCAGGTGTCAAACTTGTAAATGAAACTAAGTTCTGCAACTTCTCTCTCAAGTTGATTTTTTTTAAATTGCTTTGTAATAATATAGTCATTTTTAGATCCATTAGTGAGTTTCCGGGCAAGTTAAAATGTTCCCCAACAGGTTTCTGTGTGTTACCGTTTTGAATATCTGATTTGTGTTAATTAATTCTTTGTTGTTGAGACTTTCCAGTATACCCAATTGACATGGCAGAAGGGCATTGCTGGCGCTTGATGGCATAGATCACATTGGTGGCTGTGCAGTTATATGAGTGTCTGACATGGTGGCTTATGTGGTTAGGTCCTGTGATGATGTTGCTTGTATAGTTGTGAGGACAGAGTTGGCACCAGAGTTCCTTTTGTCAGAAACCATGTTTCCTTTTCCTGCTTGAAAAACCCTACTATATTTTGGTCACTACTGAAAATAAGCAATACATAAGAATAATGAAGTTCTTTTGCTGAGGCATTCAGATGTCATCCTGTATGCCATAAAATAGCTGGAAGGACTGAAGAATGTAAAGTGGGTGAATGAAAAACAACAAGAGATTCCTTCTATAAACCCTGTCATTCAAATTCCTTACTAATATGTAACCAAAAAAATGACAATTGTGTTAGAGAAATCTGAGCAAAAATCTTGAATGCTCTATTCTCCTCCTGATTTTAGGCATTGCCATCATATCTGCAAGGAATGCGAAGCAAAATTGGGATCTAATGGAAAGGAAAATGTAAAGTCCTCAGCTTCATAATCTCAGGTACACAATTTGAATCTTAAGGAAGCTTTTGATTTTATACTTTAATTTGAACAGTATTCTAGTTTAAAACATTTGCGACCGTGCAATATAAACAAGCTTTATGAGATGAAAGTCTGAGAATTAGGAATTCTATTTATGGTTCTAAAGTTAAATTTTATTCTAAATTTTCGCTTTATAACCATTTAACATTAATTTTACTTCTGAGTAACTCCTAATTTAGTTCCAAAATTTTCATGCAAACAGAGCTTTTTTTTGTCCAGTTAGAATTCAGTGGGATTCTCTGGGTAGTTGTAAGTTAGAAGAAAACAAAATATACTTCTCTTCTATTTTGAATGCTATATTACTGTTTCTAATTTCTTTCTTAACTTGAACATTTATGGACTAATTATTTTTGGTATGTCAAAAATGCAGCTGAAATATTGATGTTTTAAGAACATGATCAGTAAAATAATGTCCTTGCTATTTTCATGGAATACTATGCTCTGGGTCAAACAGAAAGTGTGGGGTTGGTGAATCAATAATTGGGTAAGGCTCTTTCACAGGTGTTATACAGATGATCACAAATGGTTCTCTCTGGCTTTAAAATCTCTGTAAATTACATTGAGAGGGATATTTTAGCAGATCCTTTTCATTGACCCAGAAGTATTCAGTTTTGATGGATTTGAACAGTGCATGGTATTCACAATGAAACATACTGATATAACTTATAATCAAAGAAGCCATTAGGGTGAAATGTGGCAACATTAGATTAGAGTATCCCATTTGATCTTTAATAGTCTGGAGGAATTTTATTACACCTGTGGCCTTATTTTATTTTTATGGACTATAGGAGTTAGCCAATGGTGGAATAAGTAAATAGTGAGGCCCCACTTAACTCTAGCCTCCATGATTATTGCTCCAAATCTGCCGTAATGTAGATCTACGGTAAGATTCTCAAAAGCACCAAACAGATTTGAAGACAAATGGGACTTAAGTGCCCAAGTCATTACGTTTTTGTAAGAATTTTGCCCCATATCTTGCTTGTCTCATTCACATATGATTATTTCCATTGACTGAGAATAATGATGCCAATACTGTACGTCTAATTAAAGATCCCCATTTGTTCACTGACAAGTTGTTTTAGTCAAGTTGAGAGCAGGAGTTGGTGCATATTTCAGAGTTTGTTTCTTCTATTGGTTTGGCAAAGACTGAGTTTGTTGATCCCCAGATCCAAACAGAAAGGCCATTTTGTTTTTCAACCTTTTGACAAAAGGATTATTGTGAGCTGTGGTATTTAAATTTACAAGTACTGGTTAGCTTTGAAAATTATGTTTTACATGTACCCAGAGCCAGTTTTGAGGGAAGAATTTTGAAATTTAGGAATAATGGTGGGTTTTTATACAATTAAACGTAAAACACTGAAATTAGAGGCTGACCACACATTGTAATTGGAACACACAAAGTATTATGTTGTTTGATCACTTCTTTCCTTTACAAATAAGTACAGTGAGCTAAAAGTATTCTAGATGGTAGATATTGCTTTTCCATCACTTCTCATGCCAAAAGTGTGCATCATGCTCAAACTTTCCTCTCAGGTTACATCTAATTAAAATTATTGTCCTATACACAAATTCAGTGTCAAATTCTTACCTCCAAGACTTGTTCAGAACTCCTGAAGTCAGAAGTAGATGTACATATATGCCTGGGGAGAACTTGGCTCCCAGCTCTGTATATTATATAAAATATGGGGGGGGGGGCGAGGGCTGTGTGTGTGTTTGTTTGTTTTCAGACCCTGTCTCTTCTTTTTAAGAATTTACTTCATCCTGGTATCTCTATTGTAGAATTGACAAAGATGAAAAATCCTGCAGAAAATGTCTTCTCCTTCAGTGGTTTACTCTGGACAGAAGAAATTAAGCCTAACGAGGTGTAAACAAGTACATTGTGAAGATTGGGATGATTTTTTTAAAAAGTTGAGTTACATAATAAATGCTAATTTCTAGTAATGCCATTTCTACTTTTTTCATTTGAGATCACACCTCAATACGTTTCTTTTTTCCTTAGCTCTAGGCACTGAAAACTTAAATATTGCGATTCCTGCAAGTGGCAATGACCTGAATCTCAGTGAAATCTGCAAAAGTCCATAATTGGAAGCACTTATCTCCTACACAAAAGAAAAAGAATGAAAGAGGGTTTAAATGACATTGCACTGTTATGCAATCCACCAAGCCCCGATAGCATGATCAGTTTTTCATAACTCTTTGTACTGCACAAGGACTCCATGGATCACCGTTTTTGACAACACAGATTGGACTTCTTTTGTCCTACACTCTCAGGACCTGACTGGTCCCCAATGAGATTTGCTGGACCAAGGGAGGTCCCTCTCCTCATGGCACTGCTGGCACTGTGCTAGAGCACCATCCTGGCCCTGCTGCTGCCCCAGCTCCCCCGGGCTCTCTAGCTGCCTCTGGCCCCACTTCTGCTGGCACCGGAGTGGCATGACCAGAGGTCTGCAGTTGCTTGGCTCTGTAACCAGGGCCGGAGCTCCGCAGTCGGGGCCAAAGCTGCACAGCCACTTGGCTCCATAGCCAGGCCTGAAGTTCTGCAGCTGCTTGGCTCCGTGTTTGGGGATGGAGCCGCAGGGGCTGGAACTTCCCGGCTGCTGGAGCCGGAATGGGGTGGGGCTGGAGCTCCCTGGGTGCTGGTGCTCCAAAGCCACTGCCAGGCTGGAGCTCCCTGGCCACTGGGGCCAGAACTCCCTGCCCTATCACCCCCCTCATTGCTCCTCCCCCACACTGGACTCTTGGCTGAGTCACTAGTCCCCGTCTACCATATTCCTGCCCTGTTGCCAGACCTCCCTAGTCCTGGGCTCTGTGGTCCAGGAACATCCATGGTACAACCTGTAGTTATCCTGTGGACATTGTTAGAAAGAATCACATAGATGTCAGTGGCTTTAAGAGATAAGCAGGACATTTTATTTATGCCTGTCTATTCAGACTCCTTTGGAAGAAGTTATTTCTAAATAGCCAACTTAATAAAAAAGTTTTATTTTTCTCAAAACAAACAATGGGGAAAGAATTGAGAGCTCAGAAACCTATGTTATTTAGGTTTGCTTTAATCTGACCCTGACATTAGAAAAGATTTTTAAAATGACAGAAAAAGCCAAGTCAATGCTTGATTGCCTATTATTAAAAATGGTTTAATAATACTTCATTCTCACTAAACATTTTAGAATATTCAAGTTTCAGTATGTCCTTTTATATAATATCCTTAGCCGTGAGCATTCTCTCTCAGAAGACCCTCTCCATGTACAGATACCCACAGTACAATCCAAACTTTAATCAGGAACAAAGGAAAGTCAGGTTTTAGTTTCTTTAAGAAATCTCTCTATAAAGCTTCAGTCATCAGCTCTTAGTTACCTTTTCACAGAAATGAGACCCCCCAGCTGCCTTACACTTCCCAAACTAGAGCTGATCCCACATAGATACCACAGTTGCATATACACACCTTCTCCCAGAATTACACAATGTGGGTACTCTGGCTTCATCTCTTCTGAGATATGCAGTAGTGAAAGTAAGCAGATACACAGGCTCTGCAGAAGATTCCAAAACCAATCCTCTTTAACACAAGTACTATACAGATCTAAACAATACAATAAATCTGTACACAGTTCCCTGCTTCAGTTTCCTCTTCACACTTGAATGTTCTCCAGGTGTAGGTCAGAGCCTCAAAGGAGTCTTGCATCCCTACATGCAGATTTCTCCTCCAAATCATGGTGGCTTGCTCTTCTGCAGCCCACTTTTTTTCCCCTTGGTTGGCCACACAGTTAAAAATTGCCCTGTTGTTTCAAAACAGGCCCGTTACTCTTTCTTGCCCAAACTTCCTTTGTGCCTGAGTCCCCAGTATCACCAGCCTCAAAAGATCAAAAATCATGAGTTAGATCCCCAAAATACTGCCTTTTTTAAAAGACTGTATTATACATTTTTGGTTTGATTTTTTGACGGTTGTGTGGGGAAGAGTAAGTTACTCATAAATGTATTGGGTAAAGTGACTTTGGCCATCCTCTGCCCCAACCAGTTCAGTCCACAAAATCCCCACAACCCCAGCAATTCAGCCACGCCTCACCACTGTCTTCAGACCCAGGTTTGAGAAGCTGCAGTCTGGGGATTTTCCATTCTCTCTTCCCTTCTGGCTAGACCTATTCTCCTTGCTCCAGCACTCTCCTTGGGAGCTGTACTGTTCAGCCAGAGCCCAGCCCTTAAAGTTAACATCTTTTTGTTGTTGTTCTTGTTAGATTCTTCCTCACATGAAGGGATATCTGTCAGGGATGTTGTCACCTCATTGCTGATGCATGCATATTGATGATTGAGCGATGCAACAATTTCATAAAATTAACCAGAATTCATCAGTTGTACACAGATTCCTTAAATCACCACAAGCTGTTGTTATGAACTTTAATTTGAGCTCTTACCATCTAAAATATTTGCTTTTTTGAGTTTTGCTTGGTCAACTCCCACTAAAATAGTCAGATGTTATGCTACAGCTTGGAAAATATAAGGTTAAATGTCATGCAAAATGAAATATAACAAGATTAATTGATCAACTGTGAGGAAGTAGTGAAAATTCTCTTATGCAAACTGCAGATGATTCAGAATTACTCAGTAAACAGATATTCCATTATCTTTTGCAGACTAAAATACAGTATCACTATTACAATAGCCATTAAATGTGAAAGAAAAAAAACCCAAAGGGGAACAGGGAAATGTTTTCAGTTGTCTTCAACATCTGAAAGCTTTTCTGAAAGATCAGTGTATTTCCAGATAAGATATGGGAACCTCTAATTGTTTTCTAGTTAAAGAAAGCAGATTATTTATTCTATACACATTCTTGTACTGTTCTCATTACTGTAGTATTTGAGCACCTTCCCATAGTGCACTGACGGGATTAACATGTCATGTTTGTTCTCTCAATTTCTACACAGCAAGCGTGTACAATCGAGGGTCTTGTTCTTGTAGGATGGTTTTCGGGTTTTTTTTAAATGAAGCACATAGCAACCAACATGTTATGTTAGAGAAAGCATAGTCAGAGAAATATGCTTTGCACTTGAAGCAGGAAGTGGTGAGGTTCGTGATAGTCCTTAGTTCTTGTTGAAATTCATTTCACAATCTCAGACCGCCGCTGGAAATGTTTGTCTTTCCTCCAGCCCCGCCATTAACTTTATTCTTGTTCAGAATGTGACATCACTATACATTTCAATAGGAAGTTATGCAGGTTAGCACATGGGCAACTTCAGGTATTTCAGAGAAGTAAAATGGTTTATATACTTTTTTCTATATGCACAGTTCAGTAATATACTTCATTTACTACAGCTGGATGTTAGGTTTTAGCATAGTCTGCTATGACTATGCTAAAACCTACATGCCCTAACTTGTCTAATGTTAAATACTGGATTATCATTCATGCATGTGCATCATAAATCTTATCCTGAGGCAAACGTTTCTGGTTTAACCACTTCCATGTCATTTATTAACTCTAAAAATCAAATCAATTATTTTCTGTAACTGCCTTATATATAAACTATGCACAAAACTCCAGAACCGAGTCTAACAAGAGGTTTCACACAACCCATGCTAAACAGTGGCCAGCTCTAGAAAGACCTCTCAATTGACAGCTTGCTTTCTCAGCAGTCTATTTTTCCTTACCTGGCATCCATTCCTTCCCTATTTGTAGCCTGGGCTTGCATAGCATGATTGCTGCCTAAAGCATTCTTTGAGGAACTGTCTGCTTCACTTGCTGCACTCCTGGCAGAGCAATGGCTTGTTTATGCAACAGCAGTCTCCAACCTCAGTTGGCAATCAGTGGATGTCTCGTATGCAGGGATCCAGAGGACCTATGAAGAGGAATGAACCCAAGGAAGGCTCCATAAAACAAGCCCTAAATACCCTCTATAGTACACAACAGCAGTTCCACTGCTATATAAACGGATGCAAAGTATCAATTGTACCAAAAGGATGGTCTTGTACTTGTAGCCTAGCTAGAAAATAAAGATGGCTCATGAATACTTATACAGAAAGCAAAACTGGAGTGCACTGATGTCAATCTAATATCAACAGTAAGGGCACCCAGTTTACCCCTTGTGTGCCAGTGTGAATTACATTTTTATTTTACAAAAAGATCTGTAATTCAGTGACATTTAGTGTGTGCATTCTATTTCAAATGCAGAAAATAACTGAACAGTACAATGCACTAGGTTATTCAGGTTTGGGTCATTATTACATTATATTTTTGCAGAGTTGATTTTTTAGCTACAGTGTACAGGTGTTTTCTTCTCCTCAAATGCACTGAAAGTATCCTAATGTACTTAAAAAAATCATGAGTGAGAAGAATATGTATACCATACAATGCAGGCAATATATTTAAAACATATCTTTCGTTTACTGAAGTGCAGGATTAGAGAAATCATCCAAGCAAAGGCTGCTTTGTTTTTTGTTTTAAACAACTGTCTGTCATTCATGAGGAGGGTAAGTAACACATTACAATTGTCTAACTGAAAGTGATAGTGGCTGCCTGTGAACGTTAATCTAAGCAAAATACTAATATTAATCTTAAAAGAGGAGCAAGTATGCGTCATCTTCCAAAATAAAACATTTAGCTTGCTTAATCAATTGGCAAATTTGACTGGTAGATCAGTTAGAAGCATACCTAAATATAAAACTCATGATTGTTTTGGCATTCTTTCATCCCTACTGTTTCTTCATTATACCTTTTTCACAGGAGAAAAAACAAGCCATTATCTACCCATCTTTTCTGGGGGATCCTGACAAAATATTTGAAGAATGTGAAAAGTTCTTATCAACCTAGGGCTCAAACCTGAAATGCAGATCTTTCTCTTCTTAATTAAAAGAAATGAAGGTATGCTGAGCTTCAATACATAGTTGTGGCCATTTTAAAATATAGCCCAGTTCACATCTTCTGTAATGCCAGTGACAATATCCTTCTAGTTGACTACAAGCCACTCTCACACTCACTATGCAAAATCATACCCTGCCTAAAAGGTAAAATCCCCGTTTTGATACACTATTAGGGCTTTGTTTTTCAAACCACCATTGAGATTAAAAGTTATGACCATACAAATAAATCACTGTATTTACATAAAGGATATGATAGAGACCAAAAAACACCTCCGCCCACCATGTTGTGAAGTAGTGAGAATAGTATTTCCATACCTTACTTACCACCATAACTCTAGATAAAAAGGTGATACTGAGAAACACCAAGTACTATACTTAATTTTGAATTCTGATATTTGTATGCCATATATTAATATAGATTTCTTATTAACAAGAACAGTGTTTAAAATAGTGTTTCCCACATCTGAGATATGTCCTTTATTTTCATAACTACAGAAAATGAAAACACTTTTAACAGTATTACATAAAAATGTTTGTATCCATAAAATAATTATTTGGTGGTGAGATTTCAACCTCATTTTCAAAACCTTTGGCTTCAGATCAGTTTACAAAATGCTTCCAGTATTCAGAAAGCACTCAAGTATGCAAGATTAAGGTATAATATTAATGGAGTAGATGACTTTTCCTTTTTCAGTATTTAGAGAGAAAAAAGACTGATTTCTGGAGAGAATGGACCTAAAAGAGGAGGATTAGACTGCAGTTAACACATTATGAAGGGCTTATCTAGAAAAGGAAATGTAATGGTATAGCTATTATATCTATGTAAAAAAACTAATCTTTTGGATAACAGATCCTACCTTCAGGTTTAACTTATACAGTTTTCTAAGTGACCGCTAAACTGGTAAAAATCATACTCATTTTGGAATCTGAGTGTCCCCATGGGGAGTTAGTTACACTGGTATAATTATACCAGCAAATTTCCCTATGTAGATAAACCCTAAGTGTAATCATAGATACACAAGAAAGTAATTTCATTTTAAAACTTGTGCCAAAAAAGCCCAATGTTGTCCAAATTCCAGAAAAATAAGATATTTTTATTGGCAAGATAACTGTCCAAAATTCTACCTTCTTTGGGAATTGTAAAGGAGTGAAAAGTATCAGTATTTTCCCTCTTCCTTACTATCTGAAACCTGCTCCCTGGTCCTTCCTCACTTAAGAGACTGTCTGCTTCAACATAGTGCCAGAAAAAATGTACCTTCTCTCTTTAAAGATCAGATATGCAAAGATAAGTGTTACAACTTCCTTCTACTATTTTGCAGCTTAGTGAATTATTTACTTCTTTTCTTGCATGGTGGGTGTAATAAGGAGAAATAAAATGTATTTCTCCCATGATAAATCTGACCACTTTCAGTATTCTGCACTGACCCCATCTTTCAACAACAGTACAAATCTTGCTGACTTCTAGTACTTTCATGGACCTCTCACTGCATACCTGAAAGCCTTCTCTCAAGGTAATTTTTTTTTAAAACAGTTCACTTCAAAATAACTTGATACCAGTCATCCACTTACAGTTCAGAAGCAGTTTGGTGTTTCTTTTCTCTGCAGATAGACCTGTTCTTGAACATATTTTTTAAGAACTCATCTTTATATTCATTTTTTAATCCTCATTTCAGCTTATTCTGTACCATGCTTTTGAATCATTCTGTCCGTGTTGCTCTATAGTTGGTCCACTGAATAAATGATGTCCTTGAGAGCATTTTTCTTGGCTGGTAATATAATTCCTTTTCCTCTCTAATGAAGTTAAGGTTTCAGCACACCTTTAACCAAAAACTCAAAACAAGAAAGGCACAGTACTGACATGCTAAGAATATATGTAAGGCAGCTGAAGGTCACAGCTTTGAAGATGAAACTCTAGTGCTCATGGAAGAAAGACTGGTGGCAATGTTCCAATCCCAATACGTAGGAGGTAAAGCAGATACTCGGAAAATGTGTCAGCACAGCTCTGGCACACAATGTGTATCAGTCCTGAACAGAAATATGCTATATTCTCTTCTTGAGAGACACAAAGTAGTGACAAATTCTGGTGGTTTTGTGACGTGTGTGTATAAATGGGAATAAGATTCAGAGCACAAAATTATTTTTCAACCCAGGCCAGCATTTGAACTGAGGTCACCAAAATTAAAGTGATTAATGCACTTAGCCCACCATGCTTAAACTCACATACTTTTTAATGTATCCATTTTCTTTTATTTAATCATTTTCTGTGCTTCTGGTTATTTGGGTCTTGCACTGAGCAGTAGAGAAGTCAGAATAATTCACTAAAAATGTGCATATGTTTTAATGTTTAAGAGCATGAAAGGCATACATTTACTCTGGCACCTGACTAGTTCCTCTTCACTGTTTTTAATGTTTAATCCTAAAAATTTATTGCAGGATAACAAGATCTAATTTTGAAGTCCCAAAAGATATGGAAGAAATTAACATTGATTTTAATAAATTACTAATTAGTTGGGAGTAAATACCAAAAAGTGAGAGAATATGTTTTATTGAGTGACTTTTAATGGGAGTCTTGAATAATCTGAAAAGATTTTTTTTCTTCACAATATCAATACATCTGAATTAGTCTGTTCAGATATGTCCATGCCTTATCGCTTACTACAGATTTATAAAGTTAGTGCTAGCTACCCCGTATTCATTATTTCTAAAGAATACCAAACTGGTTAAAATCACTGTACTCCTCAATAGTCTGGTTTTCCAACGGTGCAAATCTACATAATATTAAGCCTACAATCCGTAATTTTTTAACTCTTCTGGAAAGTCAAAAATAAAATCTAGTCTCCTTTATTGTAACATATTTCAATTTGGCAGAATACACCAAACTGTGCAGATATTCATAACCAACACAGATGGAGCTGAAGTTAACTGATTGAAGATAACAACTTCCTTCCGTACATGCAAGATTCAGTTCTCATTCTTCCCAAGTATCTCCATACTTGTTTACTTTAACTAGGAAATAAAACAAAGAATACCACATCACTAAATAGTTTAAATATATAAATTTATAATGAATTTAAAACAAAATGCAAAAAGTGTATATACCAATTAGAAAAAAACAGAGAAAGAATAACAGATAATATGTGGTTGTATAGTCGTCTTATATGCACAGGTAGGTGGTTAAAAGATAATGAGTTATATATTTAATTTTCAGTGGGGTAGCTGTGTTAGTCTGTAACTTGAAAAACAAGTAATCCTGTGGCACCTTAGAGACTAACAAAAATAAATATAGTATCGTGAACTTTTGTGGGCAAAACCCACTTCTCAAGCTCATCAGAAGAAGTGGGTTTTGCCCACGAAAGCTCATGATACTATATAATTTTGTTAGTCTCTAAGGTGCCACTGAACTACTTGTTATATTTAATTTACATTTGTTTTTAAACAAAAAGATGACATTTGTAATCCTTACTGACCAACTGCCTAGCCATTAACAACTGGCAACTGTCTACAAAACAGAAGTGAGTCTTGGAGACAGACTTGAAGGAGGGAAGGGTATTGGGGCTTAGGAATTAGTCCAGTGAAGGCAGTGTGGAAGAAAATGAAAAGATGCTTGTATGAAAGAGGCCTGGACAAACAAGAGACAAAAGACTGGCTACTAAGGGGTTAATGTTAGTTCACAATAAAATACAAGAATAAACAGAAAGGGAAGGATGGACCAGTGGTTATATGACTGCGGAGAGTTGGATTCCCTGCTGTGCCACAGATGTTTTTTGGTGTCCGTCTCAGTTCCTCCTCTGTAAATAAATGATAGCCTTACTTTTCTATCTCACAAGGGGGCTGAGAGAATAAGTACCATCATGATTGTTTGGCCCCCATTATTGCTGTATACAAGTATCTAAGACAGTCAGTAGATGCTGAGTTGTGCTGGCCCTTAAGAGGAAGGGACGCTTGAATTTCATACAACAGAAAAGTGAGAGGAGGATCTTACCAGTGTTTAAAAGAGTATAATCTAGTCCGACCAGCCAAGGGTTCTAAATGGATCCAAAGAGGAAGAGGTGAATGAAGCCAGGGAATGAAGGTCAGAGAAAACAAGGCAGGATGAGATTTTGTGGTACACACAGAAAACTGGGTCTTGGAAATATTATGAAGAAGGAAGCAGCAAGCTTTGGCTTCAACCTTGATGTTTGGGGTTTGAGAGAGGGTGGATTAAAAAAAGAATGATACCCAAGTAATGGTCTTGAGTGACCGTGAGAATGGTAATAGAGATGTTAGTCTGGTCTTGCTGAAACAAAAGACAGGACTATGCCGCACTTTAAAGACTAACAGGATGGTAGTTTGTATAGACTAACATGCATTAGGTTGTATAGACTCTTATTTCAGTTTAAACCAGGTTTATTTCAGTTCAGCATCATTTGATTTCTAACTGACAAGCTACATTGAAATATGCATGGCATAAAAACCAAAGGAAGAGTGTCCACAGAGCTCTTGCACTGGTTTAACCCAGTTTAAAATTGCACTTTTAGTTCAACCAGTGTAGCTGTCCTATGTAAAGGCCAGAAAAAAGAAGATGCATCTCCACAGAAAGTGTCTCTTATGGGTACTAGGGCTTGCCTCAAGGTTATCTGTGGGTGCACTGAGTAAAACAGAACTCTACTGGGATCGTCTGAAGGTGGCATGGAAAGAAGAAAAGAGTTGTACATATCCATCCTCCTCTTACAATATAGTTCAGTTTTGAAGATTTGTGTTGATTTCTGCTCTCATTCCCACAAAACTGCTACCAGGGATCCCTAATGCCTGTCCTTATTTGATTGCCACAGAAGAGCACCTACTCCCTAACAGTTTAGCAGAAATTATACAGGCACAAAAGGAGCATAGAGGTTATACCTAAAGCAGGCAAACCCTAAGCTTTAGTTTCTGTTCTTACTCATTATTATAAAGCTACCTAACATTTCAAAAGAAGAGTAAATAGAAGGCTGAAAAATCATTGAGTTCTACTATTGAATCATCTGTTAGTGACATCAGTAAGTTCCCCAGAGTTAATTTCAGACTTTCATCCACTTCTGTCATTTATTATCTAGCAAATATTTGCATTACAGTTTTGTCTTTACTCCACTTTCCTAAACAGTGCAAGCAGCCACATTTATAGGTTACTTGTAAACATTTCAGTGAATTACTCATGTTCCATTTTCAAAAGCTAATGATAAATACTAATTAGGGATGTAAAGGGTTAACTGGTGACCCAGTAAGCATTCACCTTATTGGCATGCTTACCAGGGTAACTAATTAACCGGCGGCTCAGCCTGGCCAGAGCAGCCTCCGCCTGTAATGAGGTGTGGCAGGCCCTGTCTGACCAGAGAAGCCCAGGAGGCCTGGGCCTGCTACGCCATGCAGTGGCCCCCCACCACAGGATCCCTGTTATCTGTTAAATATACTGTTTAACCTCTGAGCTTTTTAAACGGAATTTTACATCCTTAATACAAATGTAATTTAACATTATATCTACTGTGAGCCTATGATAGGTCTAAATGTTGTTTGGTTTTGAAAAAAATCCTAGATTAAAAATTCCCAATATAATTGCGAACCTTTATACTCAACCGTAGCCATTGACTTTTGCTGTCGAGTTTACTCCTTGACACAAAATGTTGCTCCACAACTTGAGCTTTCATTTAAAAATAATATGCTTCTAGTCTGGTGGTCACCAGCTGATATATCGGGCTCTACTGATAGATCTTGGAGCCTCTGACAGGTGATCCTGATTGGTTTGGTCGGGAAGCTTGCACTTCAGTTGCCCCTCCACCCACTATCATGCTGCTCCTGGCCTCTGTCTTGGAGTTGCCCCCCAGGGAGCCTCCTGCTTGCAGTGCAGGATGTGGGAGGGAGAAGGAAAGAGAGAGGGCACTGATGTCAGGGTGCCCCCACACCCCTACTCCTGTACCCCATCTCCACACACATAGAAGGGGATAGAGGGAGCTTGGCAATGCAAATCTGTCACTTTTACACTGTGGCTGCGTCTAGACTGGCATGATTTTCCGCAAATGCTTTTAACGGAAAAGTTTTCCATTAAGAGCATTTGCGGAAAAGAGCATCTAGATTGGCACGGACGCTTTTCCGCAAAAGCACTTTTTGCGGAAAAGTGTCCGTGCCAATCTAGACGTGCTTTTGCGCAAAAAAGTCCCCATCACCATTTTCGCGATCGGGGCTTTTTTGCGCAAAGCAAATCTGAGCTGTCTACACTGGCCCTTTTGCGCAAAAAGACTTTTGCCCGAACGGGAGCAGCATAGTATTTCCGCAAGAAGCACTGATTTCTTACATGAGATCGTCAGTGTTCTTGTGGAAATTCAAGCGGCCAGTATAGACAGCTGGCAAGTTTTTCCACAAAAGCACCTGCTTTTGCGGAAAAACTTGCCAGTCTAGACACAGCCCCCGTGTCTCGCTGTCACTCACAAGCACAAACTGTCCTTCACTCATCTCTTGACCCAACATATACGTGGGTTGTTTTTACTTTTACTCCTTGCAAAGTGTGTTATTTTTGGTTTTTGACTGGTTGTGCATTTCATAATTTTAATTTCTCTCTCATACTTAAATTTAATTCTTTGTGTAGTGAGTTCTAAAATGCCTAACCTGTTGTGGCTAGACTAATTATCCCTATGGTAACTGCAGACGGCAGCTCTGGGAAGTGGCTGGCATGCCCCGGCAGCCCCTGAGAAAGGCAAAGCAGGGGGTCTCCACATACTGTCCTTGCCCTCAGAAGACAATCCGACTGCAGTTCCAATTGATCAGTAATGGGGAACCGTGACCAGTAGAAGTTGCGGGCTCAATACCTACAGATGAGGGACAGCACATGGTGCCATGGAGCCATTTGCTTTACATACCAGCTGTTTTCAGGAGTGGTGCAAGACCAGGACAGAAGTAAGCTTGCGTTAACTCTACTGCTCCACCACCTGGAAGCTGCCTCAGTTAAACAGTGTCCAGCCAGAGCCTAATTCCTGAACCCATATCCCAGCCCTGAACCACTTCCTATAGCCAAACTCCTTCTCAGAACTTGCACCCTGAAACTCTCCTAGACCCCAATTCCCCACCCTGGGCTAAGCCCGAAGCCCCTCACACACACTGAACCCTTGGCCTCATACCCCAGCCTGGTGAAAGTAAGTGAGGATGTGGGAGGAAGAGGGATGGAGTGAGCAGGATGAGGCCTCAGAAGGGGTGGAGCAGGGGCGAAGCCTCAAAGAAGGGGTGGGAAGAAAGTGGGGCAAAGATATTTGGGGTTGAGGTAGAGCTTACATTGCATTTAATTGAAAAAGTGATATTGTGGTTAAAAAGGCTGGAGACCACTGTTCTAGTCTCTATGACTGTGGAGAAAATCTCAAAGAAATTGTAAGCAAACAGAAGAAATGTCATCTGTCTGAATCTACAGACAGCATGAATCAATAACTAAGAAGTGTGAAATGCCTCATGCATCTTAGTGGTGGGATCATAATTTCCACAGCCATGGGAGCTGGCATTTTTCCCAAGAATCTTCGTAAATTCAGTACCTCTGCCACAAAATTCATCATGTTAATCCATCTAGATGCTCAATTTTTATCTCCTTGCCCTGCTAGGACCAGCCTGCAGCTACATTTGCTCTACAGCTTTTCTCACAAGAGGAAATTCATTATATTACAGGCGCCAAGGAAAATATAGTGGAAAAAACCTATCTTTGAAAATAACCATTGTTTCAAATGTTCATCCAAGAATTGTGTGTCAGTTGATATTTTTGACTATTGGCTAAAACTGCATTTGGGGGTGGACAGTATGGGGGTGTGGACTATTTCAGAGTGATAGAATAAAGTAACATTGCCAGAAAATTAAAGGATTATGTGGCAATGTGAGACCCATTCCTGGGTCCCAGACCCTTGCCTTGTGCACAACCCCGCAAGCCTTGCTTGCCCTTGCCAGCATTTTGGGAATCTGTCCCTTAGCTGTCAGGCTGGGCTGAGTAACCAGTTCTCCTCAGTCACCAGCTGGGCTCTCAGGCTGCTTAGGGAAGGAAGCCCAAACACTCCTCTCAGAGCTTCTTACCTTCCCCATCTATTCTGTTCTGTTTATCAGCTTCTCTGTCTCTTTCCTTAACAGATCTCACTCCCCTCCGCCTCCTCCAAACTCCACTTCCACTCTCTCCCTCTTCCTCAGCAGGGAAAGCTTTTAAAAACAAGGCCTGGAGGCACCTTAAGTTAAGTTAAGTTAGCTGGCCCTTAATTGATTTATAGCAGAACTGCCTGGGCCAGTCTCATTCTGCCCCTGGTAACTCCGAGTGAGCTGTTCCTGGGTGCCCTGACAAAGTTCCAATTTATTAGGAGAGGGTTTTCTGCTTTTTAGAGCTGCCTCTCCCCATTCTAATCTAGTCTTCTAGCCTGACTCACAATAGCTACTACCGAATTTGGTCCTATTGTGATGCAGAGTATATAGAAGCCTAAATATAAAGTGCATTAAAGAGCAAAATATTTTTATTCAACATAAGAAGTGTGGTTCCCAAGGATAACTTTATACTGACTGAATGGCATTTCATTCTGGAGGTCATCACAAGATTGGTGCCAAGTACTATTTCCTTCCTTTACATTCTAATGCAGAACAATAAACATCTTAAAACAATGACACATCCTTCAAAATTCTACACTACAGAAACCCCAACATTCTACATGAAACAATTCACACAGTGTTTTTAAAAAGCAGATATGTGCTCTGCCTTGAGAGAATACCCAGCACCAGCTCCTGCTCTCTCCCCCTCCCCACCACATTCCTATGAGGGACCCTCTCATTTTGCAGGATCCTAAAGCCCAAGTCAAAAAAGCAATGAAACAGTCCCACAGGTCAAGTTCTGTGATCCCAATTTAGTTGGTATGGGCCAGCTGCAGGTTTTTCTTTGCTAAAGGCCTAGGCAGTTATTCACTAATCAAGCTATTCACAATGTGTCTCTAAATAGGTAACAAGTTCTAGTATATTCATCATAATCAGCTACCAAGACTTCACTTGTTTTTTTCCAATACAGGGAAGTAATTTGAAACTATATAATATGCTGTACATAAACCATACACAGAAAGGAAATCAGTTCTAACATAAGCTAAGTCAGAAATATGAAGTCAAGCATAAGACTAACCCTTTTCAACAGTACTTTAGTATCTATGTTCACTATATACTTCAGCAATTTAGCATCAAATTACCTTCTTTTTTAAATGGTCTCTCCTGTGAAGACTTCGCTGGAGTCTCTCCCTTTTGTGTTAATGCTACTTCATATGTCTCTCTGTTTCTATTTCTTAACTCCTCATATGAGACACTTTTTCTTTTAGGACTTTCCTGTAGTAGTGGAACTGGTTCTTAAATAACAAAAAGCACAGTGAGAATTAGCAACACCTAACTACACTTGATTACAATTGCAATTAACCAACCTTTTTTTAGTATGTTGACCAATTATAGCTCAATTTAGACTGAAATGGAACATATTACAGCCACAATCCAAAATAACAATTCAGTTTTTTTAAGTTTTTAAAAGCACTCAATATATCCAGAAGGGTCCCTCCTCAAACCTTTTGTTTTATGCTTTGCTCTCAGATGCCACCAAAGCTATGTGTGCTAGAAAAACCAAGGAGTGACACAAATAAGAAGAATTTCTATACACAGTACTGCCACACGCAACAGCTTTTTCAAGCCAATAGCAATTCACCTAGATCATGACTGACAGCAGAGACATGCTTTGCTCTTGTGGAAGTACATAAATATGATACAGAAGTCTAGTCTGAGAAGCTAGTGCAACACAAAGCAGGACTTTTCCATATTTTAAAACTACAGAATAGAGAAGACAATTCTATTCACTCCATTTTTTAAAAAACTGGCAATGCTTGAAGACTTTGAGGAAAAAGAAACCAAAATAGTTTGAAGAGAAGAGGATACCATGGATCAGCCACTTTTGTATTTATTATCAGAGGGGTAGCCATGTTATGTGTTTATGAAGTGCCTAAATGCTGTGGCATTTAAGCACTATTAGGGTTGTTGGTTTGCTTTCATTTAATCCCCACGTCCACATTTTATCGATCTTAGGATGGAGAGAGATGTTCTTTTTCTTATTTTATCCAAGAAAAAGCCTAACCAACACCCCCCTCCAATAATATTAAAAATGTCATATCTTTGAGGGATCCTAAGTAAAGGAAAGAATGTCTTCTCCAGTAACTTTAGGAAATAAGAACATAGTAATCTAGTTAAGCACTATGATTTGGTGATACTGTTAATGACAGAGCATTTCAAATAATATATAGTGGTGATTAATAAAGGAAACCTTTGGTAAACAGAAAATCAGATGCATCACTGTATTTTTGTTGTTTGTTTGAAGAATCAAAAATTTGATTCACACCTTAAGTTGTTCTACAACTATTAGTCTCAGTTGGCTAGTGATGTACCTCAGTTTAATTATTATGGAGATTATCAAACAAATTAATCAATCAATAGGTTGAACTCTGGAAAATAAAACTCCAATTAAATATGAGTTAATGCAAATGACTGGGCTCATTTATTGCTTGGGTCAAATTCTAACTCGATTGACTTCAATGGCAAAACTCCCATTGACTTCAACAGGATCAGTATTTCAACTGATGACCTCAGAGGAAGATGTCTAGAAAAAGTGACAAAATCTTCATCTTGGATGCACCATCAATAATGTTAAAATGTACGAGATTTCTTCTATTGGATAGAAAAAAATAATAGTTTTGGCTAAACTATTATTAATTTTGGATGACACATGATCCCAAGAAAGTAGCTCAATTTATAAATCAAACCACAAATAAAAATGGACATAAGCAAGAAGGGTGTATTTTAAATTAAAATTGATTTTTGAGCTTACTTCATTGAATTTTTATTTATACATGAGTTTCAAAGCACACATGAGTACTGGAAGGGGTAAACTGGTTTCGCCCACAAAGAATAGGCGCTGCTCTGATGGGCCCCATGGGGCTGGAGCAGCCTCATGCTCAAGGTGGATGGGGAGCTACCGTATTTTCCGGCGTATAGGGCGACTGGGTGTATAAGACGACCCCCTATCTTTTTAATTAAAAGATAGGGTTTCATCTTATACCCCAGCGCCCCTCCGCCTCCTTTGCTCCCGGTGTCCCTGGTCTGCTGGAGATGGTCCCCAGCAGACGCGGAGGGGCTCCGGCGGGGGGGCAGCCCATGCGCGCCTGGGATGCCCCCCCCGCCGGCTTCCCCCGGCGCTTTTC